AATTCTTATGCACACTAAGATTCTTGAATCGTGAGCTAAACTTAGGAAGCTACCCAGGGAACGTGCACACACAGCTGTCTGGACATTTAGACTCCTTGACTTTTAAGAACACCAAAATGTTTGTATCGTCTACAGCATTTCCTTCATAGCGATTTTTAAAAGTGAACTAAGCCTTTATGCCTATTATTAATACATGTTAAATAATTGTATATGGAGTGGTGAACCAATAAAAAGGCACCTCATTATAAGGATTACATTCTAACTTTGGTACTTAAGTTAAATATTTATGCACTATGGGCTATGTTTATGGACTCCACGGTATCCATGCTTTCGGGGGGAGGTATTGTTCCTGTAGAGTCTCAGGATAGTCAGGCTTGGTTTTTATTGATGTAGCAGATCATTTTGTGCTGTCTTTTCACGTATGACAGCCTTTTTATGAGAGTTGTCCCAGTGGTGGCCTGGGCCCCTGAAGTCAATTCATTTCATATGGCCCACCTCTCTGCAGGATAGACTGAGGATGGATATAGAAGCTGCCCCCGGCCATTATGTTGTTCATCTCAGCATTCCAGCACTGGACTTCAATAAAACTAGTCATTCTCTCCTGTTTACTTGAAGTGAATAGATAATGTGTTTAAGAGCTAAGGCATCATGTTAGGGAAACCACCTTTAATAATATGTGAAAAGAAGCGGAAAAATCTGGTCTGCTGCAAAAGAGTGGTTTGAAGCAAGATATACAGAGATAAGTAAAGGAGAGAGAGAGAGAGATGAGAAAAGAATGGGGAGGGAGGAAGAAGGGAGAGAGAGAATGAGGGAAAGATAGAAATAATGAGAGGGGAGAGGATGAGGAGAAAAGCCGTGTTAGCAAGGCACTAAATTACTGGAGACTAATCTTAATTTCCTTGTGAAACTTAAATGTACCATCTGGATTTGGGTTTTGTGAATCTCATGTATCCTTTCAAGGCATGTGTTTGTGTGTCTGTGTGCACTTCTTAAACTAAGTAACATTGCATTTACTTTCTTAGCCTTCACAAAGGCTCTAGCATGTAGCTGTCTGGACAGAGTTACTATAGTTAATTCATTTCCTTTTTAAATTTATTTATTTTTTTAAAATTTACTTATTTATGCTTATAGAACTGGGGTACAGGTCAGAGGTGTGGTGGAAAGAGGATTTACCAGAGACAGAGTGGGGAGCAGAACAGGCAGATCGACGAAGTACACTGCTAAGGGGAGCAGCGGGCGGGTCAGGAGAGGTCTGCCATGCCATGTGGGTCAGCTCCCTGGCTGGCATCAAACTCGTGCTGCAGTGGCTTCTGAGGGCTTCATAATGCGGTGCTTTAATCTGTTGTGCCACCAGGGAAAGTCCCATTTAGTTTTTTTTAATCAGATTTTTTTTGTTAGTTATTTCATTTCTTAACATACATTTACTAGAACTTTACATTAGACAAGATCTTGAAAAGTCATCTTGTACTCCTTAGTTTTAATTAACATGGCAACTTGATTACTTCAGATAGGTCTGCATCCTATCTAGTAAAGTCCCCGTAGTGGGATTCTATACTGCTTCTCAGTAATTCATCTCTAGTGCGAAACAATCCTCATAACTAGGATGTATTGCCTCCCATGGAACATAAATATTCTGATCGTAATGATTCATGCTTCCTGAGCTGAACCAGGGGGTAAAATCTGTTCACAAAGTATAACAAAATGGAATTTCTCCACATCTGTTCTCACAATTTTCGGGAATCCAGTCTTAAAACTCCATCAAATAGTTCTGAGAGCCTTCAGGACTTTTTTTTTCTGTGTGTTCCCTGAATTCATCCCCATGGCTTTAAAGTTGCATTGGCTATTTCCTCTCCATCTGTTAAGGGGAAGGATGTCCTAAAGGAACTCTGCAGAGCCTTATGGACTCTAGCCCCTACTCCAGCTTTCTGGACACTATCCCCTACTCCAGTGATTGGAAACTACAACTCCCAGCAGCACTAGGGAGAGAACTGCAAGAACCCAAGGGTGGAGCTAGCAGGAATGGATTCTGGGACATCTGGGGGATAAATAGGGCGCGATTGCATCTCACGGGCTCTCGCTCTCTCGCTTGGGAAGCAGCTCTCCTGACCTCGTGACTTGGTGCGTTCAGTCAGCCTAGCTGTAGGTATTCCACTTACTTTGTATCCCGCTCTCTTTCCCTGGGTTGTTTTCTATTCCTTTCCCCTTTTGTAAATAAACCTGTTATTGATCCTTTTGTGTGCCTGCAGTATAACCAAATTGTGAGCATGCAGGTGAGGCCCCACAGACAGGTGGCCCAGTCCACTCTGGGCTACCCTGTAACACCTCCTCCCTGTATCTTCCTGCAGCAATGGCAGTTGTCAGGACTGAGAAGCCCACCGCCCTCCCCAATCAGAGCTTCTTCCAAAGTAGAGGCTCAAAACTGATGATTCTTCCACTTCAAATACCTTCAAATATGTTAGTAAAATATCACTCTTGCCTTTTTGTTGGTAGCGCCTTCCTGGAGTTCAGAGTTAGATCTGTGTTTGGCTTGGAATAAACTGAATAACAGATACAGTGTCTTCCTCAGTGCTTCTCACTTCTACTTGGCACGGCTTTGATTGCCCTTGGGCTCTTTAAACAGTGAGTTCTTCTCAGGAATCTCCTTGGTGTCTACACCAGCAGACTCTTGGCATCCTTACTCTGACAGACCTTGTTGTATTTGGGTTTTGAAGTTAACATTGCTGACTCAAGCTGGTAACTGAGTTATACCAATCCACAAACACCCACACTGCCTATGAAGTAGAAACACCTTCAAAACTGGTATTTGAACATGTGTATTTACAGTTGCTGTCTTTGACTAGGTTCTGACTTTATGCAATGATTACATTTGATCTAGTAGTCTGACCAAATCATAGCTATTATAGATTACATTTTCGGTAGAGTCTTCGTGGTGATGTCAAAGAAGTAAGCTCCTATGCCCTGGATATTTGAGGAGGATTCTGAGGCTATTTTTATAACTACATGTCTATTGCTGTTTCAGCTAAGCACTCAGTAAAATGCTTGAATAAGTCAATGTATATTTATTCAGTTGAACCAATCCTGGCCTTCGTTACCCTCAGATCTGCTTTCAAATTCTCCAAGTTATTTAAGAGACTTCCTCATAGGTTTTACCTATGTACTGTCTCTTCTCTTTGTAAAATAAAGCTAGTTCTAGCTTTTTCTCTAAGATGTTGCCTTCTACCTTTAACCATTGCTGGGCTGCCCTCTGATAGGCTCCAAGTTCTCCCACACTCTCTGCTATCTTGAGGTATAGCCACAGAAATCACTTTTTGAGTGTTGCTGACTGATGCTGAGCTGAAGAGCCTTGTAGAGACTTGACTCTGATGGCTTGGTTCTTCAAGGCCATCCCTTCATGGCCCTCCTCCCTGTTTTTTTTTTTTTT